TTAAGTCCATAGCAGCAAATACTTGAGGGAGACTGTGATATCACAAAACAGTTGGAGAGATAGTGAACTAGTGGCTGTGGACAGGGAATGTTTATTTTGGAGAGAATTCTTGACATTTTTGCCCCACATCAGCATAGTAAGAATTTGTAGGAGAGGAGGGAAGCATTAATGTATTTGTTGAAGATTAATGTCCTTTAGCACATTTGTGTGAGTGAATATATTATGGATAGTGCCATAAATATAGTAATTTAAAAAGCTGCATGCTAAATACTTCGTGGACTGGCATAAACATTTTTTTTCCACCCTTGATGGCTTGCATTCAAGTGAGTAGGGTATTGTTCATCTTGGTTTCTTTGCATTTTTAATTGAGACTAGAAAGAAGAATAGCAGTCTCAAAGATTTGTTCCTCCTCAAAATATTGCTCATCAGATGGGCAGAAACAGATTTGAGGTTTTCAAACCAAGGCTTTTTTTTTTTTCACAATTGAGAAAAGTGTCACATAGTACATACCAAACCAAAGTGCGTGGCACACACACACACTATTATTTCTCACTTTTGGAAACAATCACTAAAGCTGTTTTCAGACAGTACCACAGTGTGCTGTCATGGAATGTGGAAAAGATGTTCAGCATAATCAGTGATTACCTGAGTGCTTATGCTGAAAGAAGTGAAGCGATGAATAATATAAAAACATCATCGGGCAAAATGCGTAGTCCTGGAGCTGAGTAAGTTTTCAGAAATTTGATTATCTTATTACTGTCTGTTGCCCCAGCGGGTTGAACCTGAGTGAGTGGCTGTACACACGCACATCGAGGAGAAGGAGAGGCGATGCTGTCCTGTCCTTCACAGAAGGATCATGAAGGCAGACAGATGTAAAGTGGGCAGTGGCTGTTTCTTTGTATGCTCAGAATGTTTGCCCCTATCTATTTTCTTATTTAAGAGGCATACTGTTTTTTTATGAGTCCTCTTACTTAACACACAATATTTATTTATGAGTTTGTAAAGATTTCTTTCTGTAAAGAGGCCAGTTAATGCAGTTGAAAACTATCGGCAACTTGGCTTTGAGTCAATTAGGGTGGGAAAGGAAGGAATAGAAAGACTATTTCTGCTCTCACTATTTAATTGGCCTCCTTACCTCCTCGTTGTGAGAATTCATCACTTATGTATTGGTTTATTGATTGATTCCACACTTTTGGACTGCTGGCTATGCACTCTGTACCCTGGGGATTCACACATCAGCGGCCCAGTCAGTGGGCATCTCGTGGCTTTGGGGCCATTTCAATCCTGAATGACTGTAATGAACAGCCTATTGGCTTTCTAGAATTCCACACTTCTGTCAAAATATGGCCTGGAGATGTTCATGTTGACTGAATAGACAAACTGTGACTAAGCCTCAGTTTTCAAGAACACAAATGCTGCCTGGGAATTTAAAATCTACTCTCCAGGGTATTTTCCAGCATTAGATTTACTATTGAGCCTTGCTACTCTTGACATTATTGGAGTACTTTCCAAGAACCAAGTCCATCTACTTCTGGCATTGCCAGAACCCACAGTGGAAAAGAAGGCAGAAGATGAGTGGAATGATTTTGTTGGATTTTTTCAGTCATAGAAATCTGCAGGACAGATGCTACCAGTTACCAACTCCTCCCCCAACCCTTTCTGCCTTTACATTCAAATGTTGTCTGTCTCGTCTTCATTTTTATTTGGTTAGTCATGCTAAGAAGGACCTTTGGACTGAAGCACCTCAAAAGCCTTGAAAGATGTGGGGTAGTGGCTACTCTAGATGAAACTATATACCTTCGGGAAGGTTGGCACCCTAAGCTCATTTTAGAAGAGTGCTCTTCAGAATCTTTTGCTTAGATAGTATTTTTTGATAATATTATGTTCTACTATGGGTGTGCTTACCTCACAAATGCCACTTTATACCTTGATTTCTACTAATATATGTGTTTATACGCCTTAAAGTGAGGTTGGATTGCTTTCTTTTGGAGGGCGGGGAAAGCCCGCCAGAACTAAGATTTTCAATATTTATGTTCTCAAGTATTTTTACCAGTGACTTCATTCTCAGCAGGAGCCCTGCCAAGTATTGTATCTGTTGTGTCATTTGCCCAGTGCCTCCAGCACGCCAACACTATTACCTGCAAACTTGCTATAACCTGACTGGCTTTTATTCCCATTCTTCTAATTTTACCGTTCAATATCAGCTCTCCCCCTTTTCTCCCTTCCTTTGCATTTTTACTCCATCCTCACCTCTTCCTTCTTGTGCACTCTGAACCTACCATCTGTCTGAATTCCTCCAGTTCATTGAGAAGTGTTCTGTGAGCATTTACCCCTCAACAACCATCCATTCTCCTCTCTCCTCTTTGCACTGGTTCTGTGATCTCCTTCTCCACTACTTCTCTATCAAGGTGAGCAGTGACTTTTTAAAAAAGAGTTACTTACTTTTGCATACAAGAACTGGGGTACAGACCAGAGGAGTGGGGATGGTAGTGAGAGGATTCCCCAGAGACAGAGTGGGGAACAGAACAGGCAGATCTACTGAAGTACAGTGCAGAGGGGAGCAGTGTGTTGGTCAGGAGAGGTCTGCCACGCCATGTGTGTCACACCTTCCTGGCTGGGGATCGAACTCATGCTCCAGTGCCTGCGGGTAGCTTCATAGTGTTGCACTTTAACCTGTTTCACCACCAGGGAGGGCCTGTTTAATTTATTTTTTAAATCAAATCCACAGGTGTATTTTTCACTTCATATCTTTATTCATCCCTTTGTATCTCATAGTCCCTCCATCATTCTTCCTTGGTCTTTTTCACAAGGTCTTTTACCCTGCCTGTTCTATCATTGTTCATGTTCTCTAGGGTGCTGCTTTTATCACTAATACCTAATCATCTCACTCTGCCCCAGTTCCTTCAGTGAATAATTTTACTATTCTCTAATGATCACTGGCATACCTTCATGTTTGCTCAGGTTTCTTCCTCAAGATCCATATGTAAGAATACATGAGTGTCCCACCTGAATCTTTGGCACCTCAGTTTGTGGTGCCCCATGCTAAGCTGCTTGTCATTATTAAATCAGTTTCTTTTTTATCCCGTTCCTCTTGTCACTCCACCCACCCACATGTCATCAGTCACCGAGTTATTCTGCTTTTAGCACCTGGACGTTTCCCAAGCACTGGCTCCTCTCCCCTTCCCAGCCTATCTCCGGTGCCCTAAACCCTACTTTTCCTCTCATGCCTGGCAACCAGATTGGCCTCTGTGGTCTTCCACTTGCCACTCTTCCCCCTTTAAATCCACCCCGAGAAGAGTTATGCACTTGAAATCCAGATCTGACTCTTCAGGGGCTGTTTGCCACCAGGATAGAGTTCTCGAATATGTCTGCAAGGTCATGTTCTGGCTCCAGACTTCTTTCCTGGCCTCACCCTAGAACTCAGCAACCTCCTAATGACACCATGCAATTTCTTTTGCCTTTTCTGTTTCTGCCATTCTTTGGCTAAGCCTGAGGACGTGCCAGGCACCCTTTTTTCTTATTTATTTTTATTTCATTCTTCATTTTTTCATCTCGGTTGTAATCCCTGTGGACTTCCTACCAACAGATCAGCTGTGTGCCATCACCATAGTCCCGTGCACCTTTCCCACCCCATTTTTGATCCCATTCCCCGCTCCACCCCTGTAAAATGTCTCTGGTATATAGTTGTTTGTTGTTTACCGTTTTTTCTTTATTACAATTGCTTTCTTCCCCCACCCCGACCCCTTATGTTCCTGCTATGAGTGAAACCATCCGTTAGATTTCTTTTTCCTTCTGGCTTCGTTCACTAGGCATGATCCCCTCCAGCTCCATCCATGTTGCTGCAAAAGGCATGAGCTTTATCCTTTTGGGTTGCTGAGTAATATTCCATTGTGTACTTATACCACATCTTTTTAATCCAGTCATCTACTTTTGGGCATTTGGGTTGTTTCCATGTCTTCCCAATTGTAAATAAAGCAGCAGTAAACATGGGGGTGCAGGTATCCATTTGAATCAGTGTTTTTGTGTCCTTTGGGTAGATACCTAGGAGTGGGATTGCTGGGTCATAGGGAAGCTTTATCTTCAGCAGTTTGTGAAACCTCCAAACAGCTTTCCACAGTGGTTGCCAGGCACCCCTTTTCAGTAAAAATCTCTTGACCTCTCTGTTCCTGGGCTAAATACCCCTGTTGATATGAATCTCAGAGATCACACCCCCCACCCCTTTACACCACAGGTTGGTTCTGTGTGTCTCTCAACCCTACGAGATGTCACTTTCCTAAAGACAGAGACAGTGCTATTCATCGTCATAGCCCCAATGACTACATGGTGCTTGGCCCTGTAGTGGGTGATCAGTACATGTTTTGTAAGTAAACAATAGCAACAGTCCATCAACACGTCTATAAAAGTGGGCAGCGTTGATAAAAGGGGCTACTAGGGGTACTAGTAATTTGCTGGGCTTTGATCTGGTGTGTTCATTCTAGCAAAATCCATGGAGTTCTCCACTGGTGATATGTGTTACACTTCCATACCCATGTTGTTTATACTTGATGAAGTTCAAAAAAAAAAAAAATCAAGTTAATGGTTTACCTGCCCAGAACAAAACACATTTTTTTTTCCTCTTTGCAAGCTTTTAGAGTTTTTACAGGATATTAGTTCAGATGTCACAACAAAGAAGTAGGCTAGTGCTATTCCTTGATGTCAAGGAAGAGTGAGACGAAAAGGCATCAACAAGATACAGGTCTGGTCTTCCAGAGCAGCTGCCCTGCTGGAGGGGCCAGGGTGACCAATGCTTCCTGCACTGCGGGTGGGGCCATGCGCCCCTCCTAGGGGAGCCCCATGCTGCCTGCAGTGACAGGGAGACTTCATTTCCCATGCGACTATGAATAATTCATAAACGTGATTATCTGGAAATTTGTGGTCATCATTAGCATTTTAATGGGGAAAAATGCAGTCATTATCCTAAATCTCTGTTTTGTTTCTACTTTTTTTTTTTCTTCTCCCAGCAGAGCTAACACTCTCAGTCTTTCCTGAGTACTTGGAAACTGCTGAGGTCTCTGCTAATGTGCTGACCGGTCACTATGGGCAGACAGTACCCCGAGGCGTCCTGTCACCCAGGCAGCTCATGTATGTATGGCATCAGACTTTCTCTTTCTTTTTTTTCTTTAATTTTTATTGTAGAATTTTTCAGGGTATAGAACTACAGACGGTTTCTAAGATTTAAATATTTAGAAATGCAGGCAAATGGATTGCTCTAGGGTAAGTTTATAATATTGAGTGATGAGACACGTTATCTCAATTAGGATTTTTAGAATCCAGTGGCCCTAGAAGGCCCCGCGTGTTTATCAGCAGTTTCCCCTTCTGTCTCAATACATCTGTTCACATACAAGCTTTTTATTTTTTTTTATTTCTTGTGTCTTATGAGAGTTTTCTCAAATGTATTCTTCCTCTTATTCGTCTTTTAGCCTTGGGCCTGCTCTTTGGGTATTTGTTGTTATTGCTTCCTCAGACCTCTGGAATTTTGGCCTCAAATCAAGGGAGTGTTTGGGGTAACTCCCCAGCATGCTTTTGCTTCCATGTTCTTTCTGTAGTTACGTTTAGCACACTCACCTTTAAATCCCATTTTCCGGTATAAGTCAGTTTTGCCTTCACTGAAAAAGAACCACCCGCAAATCCTCACCCAGACGACTGTTTCTAAAATAAGCCCTATCCTTAGAAGTGGCAGCAGAAGGGAGAGCTGATAAGAGTGGAGACTCAGGCCGGCCACCAGCATTAAAACCAGCAGAGGTGTGGCAGCTGCCGGCTTCTGTCCACAGCCTGTTCACCCTCCTAGGCCATTACTGGAGGACTCTACGGGGAGCAGTTTTCATGGAGACCATCAGAAGAAAAGTTTACCCCCATGCATTGTAGAATAGAAGTCATCAAGCCATGACCCACACACCTAGCCCATGGCCGTTTTTATAGGTATTTACCTTGGCTTTTAAAAATTTTATCGATTGTGTGCTAAATGCTAATAGAAATACCTGTATAATCTTGATTTTTGCATCATAAAGCCTAAAATATCTATGATCTGACCTATTAAGAAAAAAATTGCCTGTTACTACTGTCTAAGAAAGTTGGAAGGCAAGAACAGTGATGGAACCATCTGAAATAACTATTGGAGCAGTTTTGACCTTCAATTCATATGGTTCAACTTGTTATATTTGAGGGACTTCTTTCAAAGTGGTTAAAATTCTACAACTCGGGCTCTTGCTAGAAGTAAATTAACTTGGAAAATTCACTTCTGTGGGTCTTTTCATTTTTCACTGCTTTGGTCAATGATTGATCATCCTCTCCAGAGCTTTCGAAAGGGCTTCAAGCTACAAAATCTTCTATTATCAAGTGCTTGCAAGAAAGTGCTTCTTTCTTATTCATTCTTTTACCAAGAGCTCTCTTACAGAAACCTCCTCTTGTATTCTCTTCTGAGTCCCAGAACTTGCTAGCTGTTCCCAGAAGAGGTGGCTGTAGTCCTACCTGTGATGCTCTGAAAACATCACTCGTCCCTTTTGTTCTCACAGGAGGAGGATGAGGACCACCTTTTCCAGCATGCACACATGATGGTGCAGGCCTGCAGCACATGCTTGAAAGGTTTCTTTCTGGTGCTTGCTCTCTTGTGCTCTGGTCTGGATTTTTCAGTGTCGTTGATCCCTTATTCCGTCTAAAACCACCTTATTTTGGGGGGGGGGCGTTGGTTGTCTACCCACCACCCCCTTTGCACTTTTCTGTCTCCTCTACTCTATAAGATTTATGGTTTGGAACCTTCAGCTGACACTCTTTTTGTGGCTACACTTTGTGGTAGGAAGCATTCACCTCAGCTGCCCTGTTCCTGTCATCTCAGTCAAGTGCTGGGTTCTCTGGGCTAGATCCGGGGCTGTTCCATGGAGATGGGAAAGTCTTTCACAGGGTAAGAACCCTCTGGAGTTGATAATTTGCCGTGCATGTGGTCAGAGCCTTCGTCCAGACTGCCAGTCCCGCCCAGCCTTGGAATTGGCAGGTTTCATGCAAGCTGGAGCTTCAGGTTTTCTTTGTTTCAGGATCTTGGTTCTGCCTTTCGTGGCTGTGTTCTTCCAGGACAGGTGCTGTTCTTTGGTGGAATGGCATCCTCTGAGCACCCAAGCAAGAGTAGCTAGAGATGACCGACTTCTCCTAGCTAGCATAGTGATAAATGTGCTTGAGTTTGGACTAGCGTTTTTTTTTTTTTTTTAAAGATTTATTTATTTATTTGTGCATACAGAACTGGGGTACAGGCCAGAGGCTCAGGGGCGGTGAGAGGCTTCACCAGAGACAGAGTGGGAGCAGAACAGGCAGATTGACAAAGTACACTGCTGAGGGAAGCAGTGGGCGGGTCAGGAGAGGTCTGGCTCGCCATGTGGTCTCCTCCTGGGCAGGCGGCAGGCGGGAATCGAACTCATGCGGAAGTGGCTTCAGATTCTCAGTGCTGTGCTTTAACCCGCTGCGCCACCAGGGAGGGCCTGGACTAGCGTTTTAAAATGGTCCTGGGAATCGCTTGGGAGTTTGAATCCTTGTTTATTTGTGTCCATGTTTACCCATCCCTTTTCATCAAGCAGCCATTGCAATAGCCCTGACCATCCAGATCTGTTCTTTGCCACGAGTTGTCTCCTGGCCTCTGGCTTTCAGTCTCTCTATAGGTAAATCTGACCTGGGAACTGTGACCAAATTAATCTGATCAGTGCACAGCTCTATGACCTCACTTCCCGGCAGAAAAGGTGTGGTGCAGCCCCAGTAGTCCAGAAGGACGCCCTGACCTTTAAGTCCTCCACACGTACTTTCACACATTTACTTTTTGTCCTTACTGCGTTCAGTATTGTCTCTCGTCAGTGTTCCTACGCTAGCCCGAGAGGGCTGTTCCCGCAAAACCTACAGAAATCTCCTCTAGCCTTTGGGTCACGGTGCCAGGATGCAGAGCCAGCTTTGACACCCTGCTCACACCTCACTCTGGCTTTAAGGGACAGCGGCCTCTCCCCCTCTCCCAGGAAATCACCCCACTGGCAGCCTGTGTTCCTGTTGCCCCAGTCGCCCTCCTGAAGCTATGTCCCAGATTACTCTGTATCTTGGCAGCATGTATGCTCTGCCTGAACTTTGACACTCAGCTCTTTTTCATTTCCCTCCTCTGTGTAAGGACAGTGCTTTATCTATGGTTGAAGCTCAAATATTTATGGAATCACCTCGGGCTTTAGAGAGGCTCTAAGTAATAACTGTCCTCACGAAGCCCCTGGAGAGCATTTTCCAGAGCCTCTGGCAATGCCTCTGCAGGCCCGGGGTGGGGGGTGATCGGGCTCGGGGGCTGTCCACACGCCTGGCCGGGCTGCCCCAGCCCCAAGCTCCTGCTTTGCTGTCGCTCTCACTCGGAGGGAGGGTGTTTCTGTAACCTGGTGGTCCCCAGGGAAAGGGGAGCTTCCAGGTTCCCTGGAAGGGAGGAGACGAGCAGGGAGAAGAAGCTGGAGAGAAGGCTGGTGAAGGAAGGAAGCAGGAAGGAGCCAGAAGGAGGCCTGGAGGAAGCATGAGGAGCAGAGACAATGTGAAAAAGCTGCTCTTGCTTCTTGGTCCTGGACTGGCTGAAACAGACGTGGGTGAGAGACCTGTGGGACAGTTACTAGGGCAGCGTTTATCTTGATTTTGATTTTGCTCTTTTTCTTCCCAACTTATTTGGCCATTTCTGACCCTTTTCTATAGTTTCCTGCCAGGAGGTGCCTGAGACTTGTGGTACTTTCAGGCCTCAGTGGCCCTGCCTTGGGTCAACCCTGTTTGGCTGAGCATTTACCCATGAGGGGATGGACAACTTTGGGTGCTTGGTTGGGAAACTTTATTCTTCCCCTTTTCTGTGTTAAACACTAATCGTATAAACGTCCTTTCCATTAAACATCCTGTATACTAGAATGTATTTGCCTTGATGCTGAATGGCAGAATCTATTTAAAACAAGTGAATTTGGGGGTTCTGGGATGCCCCTTACCCTACTCTGTGACATTTCCTCCCCTCTGATTTAAGAAATTGCTATTTATAAAGCTTAAACGATGACAGACACACGTGATTACTATTTTTTTGTCTTTCCCTCCTCCTCCCCCCAGATGAAAGGCGACAGTGTTGGTTGGCACCATGCCACGCTGTAGCCTGAATTTACTGAAACTATTTCACTTCTTACTGGATAAACTTTAAACCATTGATCTTAAAACGTCCATTTCCTAGAGGAGAAAACTGAGGTTGGAGTCGACATAGAGTCTTGCCAAGGTGCCCTGAGGCAGAGGTGCCCTGAGGCCAGGGCTCCTTAATCCCGCAGCCCTGTGACATGTCTGTGTTCTTTCCCCTGCTGCTGCCTCATGATCTGCAGATCACCTGGTTGGTCATTTACTAAGTGATGTTTACTCACCTGTTCTTCCCACCGCAGCGTTTGGTAACGTGAGTCTTAAAGACAAAAAAAGTTCAACGTCAGAGGATCTTCCCTAAATAATAATCTGGTAGGATAGCCAGGGAGAGGATGTCTTATAAAATGGTGAATAATACAATGGTAGTCATAAGACTGTAAAAATTACACAAATAATACGTGTTTAGTATAGAAAGGAATTGAAAGAAAATAGTGTCTCATAGCCCTATCCACCAAGAAGTAACCACTTCTAACATTTTGTTTATTACCCTTCTGTACTTCAGATATTCTTAGTGCTTTTGTTTATTCTCTGCATATGGGGTAATGTTGTGCGTGGTGTTTACTCAACAAAGCATCATATCATCTTTCTAGACCAGTACATTTATTTTCAACAGCAACTCAAAGCAGCTGTGGCCTGCAGTGCTCTTATTTATATGCTGTTCCAGAGGGAGGTGGGAAAGCGGCTGAATGCAGGGAGGCCGATTTGCCTCGAAATGAACAAGAACTTTGATCATGGTTCAGAAATGCTGGTCAGGGCCCATTAAATTGATTTCTCCGTCCATTATTTGGTCTCACTTTGAAAAGCTCTGGCCTAGAAGTCACATAATTCTGGAGGGCGTGCTTGGGCAGAGGGGAGGTTTCAGTGGGGGAAGTTCTGAATCCAGCTGGAGTTTGAGGAAACACTTGGAATTTGAGTTAAGCCCGGGA